ACCGGGTAAGGCCACCGCAGTGTTCCTTTTCTACCTGTGACTCTGTGATCATAACCCGGGTCGCCCTTGCAGATTTAGCGCACACTCCGCCTCGACACAATGCTATATTTACGGCGCAATTTGTATCTATCGTACACACTGATTGCTGTCTCTTATGCCTATCGCTATCTCTTAAATAATATTTTAAAATATTTTCCTCGTTACAGAGTAACCTGCGACAAGATTCACCAAAATCTCATCCAGTAAAAACAGCAGAGAAGCAAAAATCACCGCATTTGTCTAATGTGTACGGTTTTAATTTCTAATAGCATATTTATAAAGAACATTATAGTACGTAAAATAATTTGAATATAAAAATGATAAAGCAAAGATTGAAGGGATCTTGTATTATCTTATACGATGACATTTTCAAAATTAAAATACATTTTAAATGCCATGAGGTTAATGTGGCATCAGATATGTTTAGAAATGTTTATGTATATGTTTATGTATATGCAGATGTATATATTTATGTACATGTTCAAAAATGTTTATCGAACCACTTTTATTAAATACTGGAACTTAATTCTCACTAGCACAAATTAATACGGTAATAAACAGTGTAAAAAAAGTAAAATGTAATTGGTCTGTCAGTTAGATAATGAAAAAATATTAGACGCATTTTTTTTATTTTTTCATACCTCTACATACATATAAGAAAACAATACTGAGATAAAACGGAGTTAAGTTTAGAAGTGAGAGGTCGTTACGTCGCGATACCCTATAAAATGTAGTAAATCGTAGCGTCACATGATATTTCAAATCTAAATGTCGTCGAAAGTATTAAATTTTTTAAGAAAAGAAAAAATACGTGTCTAATGTTTTAAAATAATCTAACAGACGAATATTAAAATAAAATTTAGGATACTACCCTATTGCAGTAAATTCTGGCGCGATATAGTTTTCATTAGCTTGATCCTACAAATAACATAATTGATCGTAACATTATTTTTCAGTATGTACAAAGTGCAAGTAGCACCACCTGCAATTCCACCTACTGAAAATCCTCCTCTTCCCTCTCCTACTCGCCCAGCACTCCCACCGAGAATACCACCACCGCCACTTCCACGTCGAGCTTACACCCAACACAAGGCTCGTGTACCACCCCCAATTCCACCACGACCACCTCCACGCAAGCCATCTAACGCCCGTACTTCACCAAAACGAGACTACACACCAGCTCTAAGAGCACATGATGATTCACAACCTATAGAAGCCACACGTTCTGATAATGAGTTCAACCCAGCAAAGAAAAGATCACACAGAATATCCCAGAAACAATCTCGCAAACAACTAACAAAGGTATCAATTTCAATAAAAAATAATTGTAAGAAATTTTGTTCTTTTTAATAAATATAAACTGACCAGTAATGTTTCCTTTTTCAGAAATCAAGTCTTTTCACAAAAGTAGCAAAATTCAACTTACCAGCTAGAAAAAACTTAGTGTCATATTTAGAAACACCACAATCAGATGTACAATATGTGGATGACATAACAACTGAAACAATTTTAAAGATTGCTAAAGATAAAGACATTAATTTCAATCAGTACTTGAAGGAAAAGAAGTACAATATGAATAATCACACCCGGCTAGACAAGGTATTCAAGGATGAGAATGACAAAGACAACAAGCTACTGTCTCTTCTTAATACTTTGGAGAAAGAAGTGAAACATATTGCACTTGATGGCAACGAAAAAGTATTATTTGACGCAAAAATTAGAAAAATTTACGGATCTATTGTAGGCACCACTGCCACAACATTACTTTCACCTGTTACTACAAACGCTTATGATTTAGGTATTGCTGAAATCGGCATTGGTAACCCGAGAAGTAGAAAGTATAATAATAATTTTGATGCAAATGGTTTCAGTAATACAAAAAGAAAACATGATCTTTACTTTCATAACAAATATAATCAAAATTACGATTACAAATTTGACACTGATGTGGAACAAAAATACATGGATGATTTTGAAAATAAATATATCGAAAATCTTGGTCGTAATAAATATAGTGAAAACAATGTAGATCGCAAATTTGATACAAGACATAAATATATTGAAAATGACCCAAAATATCATTACGATGACAGTTGGAACCGTAGGTATGACGGAACCTTACCGGTTCATAAAAATACATTAAAATACGAAGGTAAAGATTTCAATGAATTTAGAGACTTTAAACATAATTCCTTAACATCAATGGAAGACAATGCAATCAGACACAGTCATTTGATGAACTTCAAGAACAGAGAATTTGCAAAAAGTGACTATCATCGTCCAGACAGGGATGATTACAGGAGCAAAGAACCCGAGAGAAAGCACAGAGATGAAATAGAAATAAAAAGAAACAAAATCTATCATTATCGCGATGACGATATTGATGATCCGTTAAGTATAGAAAGAAGAAGATTTTTTCAAGAAAGACTAGACAATATTGAACGAAGGCTTCTTTCAAGAACAAGCGACGTAAGTATTGACCATTATTCCTGTTTCCTAGCTAAGCTACTAGGTGATCTGCTGACCTACTAGCACACAAGATAGGGTGAATATAAATAAAACCGCATCTGTGTACTGATCTAAGCTGGTATATGCTCTATATATTTGACATTAGTATTGCATTAGACATTTTGGTCTTACAAATCAATTTTACCTTATAGTTTCATTGGTAACGAAACCATAGCTCGATTTTAATTGCGACAACGCCATCTATCGAGCTATGAGACAACTTTGAACAATAATATTTTTTAACATCAACAATAAGTTTGGTCTTGAACAATTCCTAAGGCTCGAAACTGCAAAAAGTGCGCCACGACGAGCTTCGATCGCGTGAGCACGTATCATTATGAACAGGATTATTGGCTGTCGTTTCTTTTTGCTAGTCGCCTTTTTGTTACGTAATATTATATTAATTAAGCTTTCCAATAATACAAACGTAAATGCACACCGTTAAAGTTGAATTAGCAAAACCTAACAACCCGTTGTCTCGCACATGAGTTTGGTCATACATCGGTTGCCTATGGCAGGCGTCCGCTTAGACGTGGTTTCATAGCTTTTCTTTTATAATTGCTTCTTATAGATTCGCAAAAATTTACCAGCTGCATAAATGTTTTTGGCGGATTATATTTTATTTATCCCACCGCATGCTTGACGAAAATGATACCACAAAAGCTTAACATCGCCATCGGGTAGAAAGGCACCATATTGTCAATCGAGGTAACAAAGAGGTGGTCAAATATAAATATAATGTAAAACATAAAAATCATCAATTTCAGCACAGAGGCAACAGAATACGTCGAATGAAACCAAGTTTGTCCAGAACAAGCTCCAAATCTGAAAGTTACATTCCACATAGGGCAAGAATTTTACACTCTGTAATGTATGAATATTATTAAATGTTTTACCGGTCCGGTTTCATAATATTCCGAGTCGCACCAAGAGATTGCTGAGTTATGATATTAAATTTGTAAGTTATAAATTAGGTATCAGTTTAATAAAGAGAGTATTTTACAATTACGATGCGTCTAACGGTTTTAATCTGCTGTATTTTACCAATCAAGCCCTTACGATAGATAACCATAATGGAGATTATTGCATAGAAATTGAAATGATATAAAATGGTCATCAAGATTAATGGTCGTCAGGAAGGAGGTAAAATTTTAATTACTAAAGACGCAAAGAAACAAACGAACTGGCAAGCTAAATGGCTGGATATGAATGAAGACATTGAAATACTATTTTAGTTTAACGATTATAATCATGGCGGCGGAGGAAAGCAAATGAACGAATATGATTGAATGTTAAAAATATAATAATCAATATTTGAAACGTTTGTTACATTTAATTAGTTTGAAATTAGGTTATTAATCATTAATTGTTTAATGTTTGGTCAGTTACGATGTGAAAATATTGTGATTAAAATAATTTAATACCCACACTAGAAATTTTAAAATAATTTTACTAGCCAGAGTATAAATACCGTCACACACTCAAACGTCATACTGTTTAGAGCTCTGATTATTGTACCTTTGTAAAATAAACTAAGTAAAACCTATTTTAAGTTTTACTATTATTCTGGACGAAAAATCCTTAGTGGATGACCAGTTCTACTAAGAATGTGGCGTCTACATTGATGATGTCACGGCAAGTACTAATGTGACATCATTGACAAACGCTGAAGGAAACCATCATGAGGAAAACATAGGCTTATAATTTTTAATTATAAGTTTGAAATCGCCAACCCAGAATGAGCAAGCGTAGTGATGAATACTCAAACCTTCTTCGTGTGTGAAGAGGCTTTGCTCAGCAGTGGGCACTTATAGGCTGTTGATGATGATGGCCACTAACTCAATTACCAGATGATAAGCGATGATGCGGCCTACGATTGAGCACGCCTGTCCATAAGCAATCTATTCACTCGGGTCTTGAAGACACACAAATTATACTCCAGGTTTCTATTCATAATTGGGTTCTTCAAGTAAGTACCCATAGTAAGTACCCTTAGTACCCTTAGTACCAAGTACCCTTAGTAGGTACCCATGTAGGTGGTAACCCTAGTCCATACCAATACATCGTCTAAGTGTCTCTTTATGCTGAGAATTTACTGCACAGGAAAAGGATGGCCGAAATGAAAAATAAATTGGAGGCTGAAGTGTTAAGGAGGGTTTGCTAGAACCCAAGCCGGTACAAGATCTCCATTTTAGCTCTTTTTGGCCCCAATTGGCTTCCAGTTCTACGAGCCTTGTGCTCCGTCCACAGCTAATTCATTTTGGTAATCCACTGAGCTGTAGCAGTAAGTTTCATTCCCTCGCTTGTCTCTTCCTCCTTCATAGCGAGCAGAATGACCTCAAGTTTTCTTATGAGGCCTTATGTAAGAGAAGAGACCATATTTCGATTTCATAAGACACCACTGGTAAAAAAACAACAAATATTGAATATCAATTTATTAAAAAAGTTGTCAGTGCCAAAAACTGATCTGAGAAATTACACTTAGTGCATAATTATGATGGATTCTCTGAGAAGGGAAGATAGAGAATTACATTACAATTATAATCAAAAGAGATTGCTATCACAAATGTTAACATAATGACCCATTTGGAGTTAATGGGTCTTCAGAGGCAACACCTTAGTTTTAAAAACTAATTGCTAAATTAACCTAAGCTTAGTCTAATGTGTAGTTATATTTCGTTAAAAACCATTTGCAATATATATTGTTATAGTACAAGATTATGCTTAGTTTCTCTACAACTAGAACTTTATAGAAATCGATTCCAAAGTTTAATATTCTTTTAAGCAACGTATTGATCCCACTGCAAGCAGGATGATTGCACAACTTTTTACTTTCAATATTTTCTTTTTATCAACAAAAAATAACTACATTCCCATCTACTACCAGTACTTCTTGTAATGAGCATTTACTACATTGTAATCTTTCTTTTCCGTCAAAAACTGCATTTCGTCCAAATCTTTCAGAATGAATAGATCTCTTGCTTGCCTCTTGTTTCTCTTGAAGTTCTTAAGCATTTGATGGAAAGGCTTCGGGTATCGTGGCAGCCTAGTGTTGTACTTCTTCATTCTCTTTCTCTGATTGGACTGTGTCGTCGTGTCATCCTTCCTCTGTGCATAGTCATCTTGAGCGTACTCATTGGACTTCGGAACCACTGTTGCACTCGTCATCTTCATGACATACAGCTTCTTTATTTTATTCGACCGGTTCTTCTTTATAATCTTCTGTATAGTCCGTTTTGGCGATTTTTTTAGTGTTTTGCTTTTTGACTTCTTAGCTTCGTAGTATTTGCTCATCGATGGCAGTCGAATCAGATTTTCTGCTTTGTCAATAAACGTTATGTTGTGTGGAGTCTGTGGAATAAAAATCAAAATGAATACTTATGAATACAATGTGTCATTTTAATAACAAACGTTTTCAAGTTGAGTCATCTTCATCAGATGCTCCAAAATATTTCTGACTGAAGTAAAACTTTGTACGTGTACGTTTAAATTCTTTATTGCATTCCTTAATGTAATAAAGAATACAGTTCTTATATAGTTAGTACATTTATAGGTCAGGACTTTTGACTCTTGGACGGTCTCTTGGACACAGCAATGAGGTACAAATATCAATAAGTAGGTAGTAGTCATTCGGTAATAATAAATATTACTGCTATTACATTAACTTCTTTATAATTACATAATTATAATATTGAATAAAAGAAAAATTAAGGAAAATAAGTCTATATCTTATTAGATCTTAACTTGCTTTGTGCGTATTCGCTTGTACGTCACACACTCATTTAGAAGCTTCGAAAGAATAAGCGAAAACATAAACTCTACTCTCCACTCCTTATTGCGGCCAAATTTCTTTAATTGAATTAACTCCTACGATGGAACTAAAATGGACAGCCAAAACGCATTTCAAGATTGAATTTATGTATAGTTCCTAATAATGACTGTCTCATTGTCCGAGCGGTCGCAAGTGCGACTGCCGGGCAAGGGGTCTCGGGTTAGATTCCCGGGTCGGGCACAGTATTATTGGGTTTTTCAAAAAATTCCCACTAGTAGCACGGAGTCTGGAAATGTGCCCGGTATATGGCAATAGGCTCACCCCCTATTACATGGGACTCATAACATAAATAGTGAAAAGTGGGTGTTACATTGTACAGTGGCATAATGTACACCTCTGCCTACCCCTTCGGGGATAAAAGGCGTGATGTTATGTTATGTTCCCAATAATAAACAGTCAAACGAAATCTTTTCCCTTGCAATGGACGAGGGAAACAATAAAGACATTCTTAAAATATGTTACAAAAAACATAACAAATTATTATTATCCAAACAAAATCTCACACTTGCATATCAGAAATCAGAAGTGCTGTAAACCCAAAACAACAAAACTAAAAAGCTAGAAGAATACCAAGCAAACACACACAAACCGCGAAGAAATGTTAAACAAAATAATATACTTTGCGGGGTCTCCAGAAGTGTTGTTGCCAAGGCTTGACCGCGGATGCCGATATCTAAGAGACAAAGCGCCAAAGAAAATGTTAATAACAACCATATTACACGCACAGTAAAGGCACTACTTCAACCCGATAACTTGTCATTTAAATTTGAACATTAAATCGTATTTTGTATGATACAGTTTATAAAATCAAATACAAGAAGCTGGAAAGAAGGACTGCACGCCGTTGGCTTTTCCAAAGAAAGCGAAAAAGGTCGCGCCGAAGCCGTGCCCTTACTGTGAGCCATGACCCATGTCCAACGTTTGAAGCGATAATATTATAACTGCAGCGCCACGAAGAAACTAGCAAGTACAAATACTATGTTCCAAAAACATGCTCACCTTATTTATTTTCTCATCCACTGTCCCGACCGCCAATCTGTGTTCATTTTCATGGTTTGAGGGAATCTGGAATAGAAGAATGAAGAATTTATGTTCCTTATAAATACAATGTTTATTTTAACTTTCAGCTTCTTAAACTGTCAAACACCAAGCGGTCACCGGTGACCGCAACCTATTGTTCTATAATTGTGTCTACAAAACCGGTACTCGACGAGTTAATATCGGGTTCTTCTTTTCTTGGGATAAGCTGGTAAATGGAATACGGAACCCTTGATGGTACGCAATCGGCGCCGCCCATGAACACCAGCAACATCAGAGGCGTTACAAGTGCGTAACCGGCGTAACCGGCCTTTTGGGGATTAGGAATTTGAGGATTGTTGGGAATTCAGGGATTAGGTAGATTGGGGATGGGGGGGAGTAACCTTGCTTACACGCCGAAACATTACGCAAGCGTCGTTTTACATCGGTTTTCTATGAGGCCGTGGTATTATTCTGGTCAAGCCGGCCCATTCATGCCGAAGCATGGCTCTCTCACACTTAAAATCATCATTTCATCTGACCCGACCCCCTTAGTGTGTAAATCATCGAAATTCTTCATTTATATTACTACTGCACTCTGTACTAGTGACGTTAAGCACTAGATTATGTATTCTATATAAATATATCCTTTAATTTCAAACGACTTTTCTGTATTTCAGTAGCTCCTTGCAATCTTTAGTAGGGCAGTGCTGTTAACAATTTTAAAGTAATAGACATTTCATTAATACCTCTCCTATATACCACAGAAAAGTGATACCTGCGTCGAACCTTTCAAAACCTACAACCTATTTTTCACATACCCATTATAAATTTTTATAACAAACATACCTTTTCAGTGGCACAAATAAAACTGATGAAAAATGATGAAATTAACAACGTTTGATACATTATATTCACACCTGAACTTTCGAATGAATACTGTTCTAAAAACGTGGAACTTTTATAAACTATCCTAGTCGATAACTACCGAAGTAACTGTAAACACCATTGTTCACAGCGGCCATGTTGAAAAAGAAAAATATGTACTAGAAAATGTAACGGATATGACCTTAGTCCGTTTTCTTCATTCCCTTATGGTTTTATTATCATTTCTTAGACTAAACACGATTTTTAAATTGGCACAGAAACATACATCTCGTTTAAACACTGTATATACTGCTACAATAAATACTGTTTAAAAAATGTTCCGTGTTTTGTGTCATTAAATTAATGACGAAACATAAAATATGTCATAAATGTCGTGACCAATAAATAAAATATGTCTACAGATTAATATAAATTTATTTCGGCATTTATTTTTATTAAAACGTGAACGAAGTGTCGGTTATTAAATAACTTTTCTCAATTATATATAACTAATAACTGTTTTATAGTTAGAAAATAAATATTTCATTACATTATAAAAGCCAAGTTAAGTGAAATAAGTTAAGATAAATAAAAAAAATCAATGATCAACATTTAAAATTCTGATAACACAAATATTTAATTAAATAATAAACATTTTGCTAAAAATATTATTTTGAAAGATTAATTTATTTTATAATAAATGTTTATTAAATAAAATAGTGGCTTAGTGATCTAAGGCGTGCAAAAATAAAAAAGTAGTGATTTGTTGTGTAAAATGATTTCAAGTTCTGAGCTGTGTGATTGGACTACATAGTGATTGAAGACTTGCTTGGCATCGAAATGTTTAGTATCAAGGTGAGTTGAGAATAATGAGTGTTGCTCAAAAGTTTTTAGTCAATTGTGTTGTTTAAACTTATGTGGTTTAAGGTCGTTATTAACTAGTAATGCATCCATACTAATATTACAAATAACTAGTAATGCATCCATACTAATATTACAAATACGACATTGTATGTCTCTGTTTATTTGGCCGTCGTAAAATAGAACAAAGAATCGACTCCATTTTTTAAGTGAATATAGTTGAAAGAATGGACAGTGACATAAGTTACTTTTCGTCTCTTTCTAACCCACCACTTCCCTAAAATGTTTGGGTGGAAGTTTGTACCGAGCATTTCGCAATTACCAAGATAAAAAGCTGAATATTGGTATGCGGACTATTTGTGACATTTGAAAATGCGCGTGCGAAACCGCGGGCGATAAGCTTGTGTTAAACATTGACATGAACGAGTGCCAGGAACTATAAGGCTGCTGAAAAACATCTGGCAAAGAAATCTTTGCATTTCAGAAGGCATTGCAGAAGGCTTGTTTCACTCATTTAAGGAAATGTATAATTTAGACACATCTTCTGATGACAACCATCTATTGGTTTTATCGACAAATGTTCAGAAAATTCTGAAATCATTAAATCTAATAGACCAAACGACAAGACAACATCACAGCTTCAAAAAAAAACACTAAAAACTGAAACATGAATTGAAAATTAACTCGATGATACGTCATTAGCCTAATCCATATTCATTTTTATGGAGTCGGTGTACTTCCGCTTTAGAAGTGCGATGCATTATAAAGCTAGAGTGTGTTTACGATACTAACTAAATGAAGATTATATTTGTGAGGTCATTTATCTAGACAGGAATAACATAACATCACGCCTTTTATCCCCGAAGGGGTAGGCAGAGGTGCACATTATGCCACTATACAATGCAACACCTACTTTTCATTATTTATGTTATGAGTCCCATGTTATAAGGGGTGAGCCTATTGCCATATACCGGGCACAATTCCAGACTTCGTGCTATTATAATAAACAGGACCTATATGAATAAACAGGAGCAGAGCAGTTCCCAAAATCCTAAGGTTGGCTGGTAAACACTGCCATGTGGCATTACCCAACCTTCTATGGTTGTACGGTAACCAGCTGGACAACCTATTTGTTTCTGTCAAATTTACCTATTACATCTTCAACTTCATAGTATTGATATAAAGTTGGAAATTCAATGATTAAATTTGACGGATTGGAGTCGGTTGCTATGCAGGCCACTGGACGTAAATTGTTAAATAAACAATACTAACTAAACAACCGTTATCTACTTCTAGCTAATTCCTGTTCTCCTGGTCGTCGAGTTGAGGCTCTCGAGAAGTTCGCTGGTGATCGACAACTTTTCACAGAAGTCTATATTCCTGTCTGACTACTGTCCCTCCTTTGAGTTCTGCAGAGAGGGAGCCCATGTCATGTGCGTGCATTATAACCCTGTGAGTAACTGTAATCTGTCTCCTAACCTTTTTTTAATTGTACGATACCGATTACAAATAAATACAACACATTTACATACATACATACATAACTTCACGCCTGTCTCCCATGGGGGTAGGCAGAGACTAAGGAACGCCAATTACTACGATTCTTACATACCTCTTTCGCTTCAATAACAGTCATCAATCTTTTCATGCATGCTCGTCGGTTAAGGGTACTTTTAATTTGGCCCTTCTTTCATATATCGCCAATCTGGTCGCTATATGTCCGTCTAGGGCGCCCTCTATCGACTGCCCCATTCATATCCGCTCTGTATACTTCTTTCGTTACTCGACTTTCATCCATCCTTTCTACATGTCCAAACCAGCGTAACATTTCTTTTTCAATCCTTGTCACTACATCATCTTTCAACACATTTGTGTACTATAAACCCAAGGATACACTAGGGTACAAATATCCTACGTCACGTTTCGCCAGCGACGACGGGTGAAGTAGTGCGACGTTGCCGGACTTTCGTCGACATGTCTGACAACATCAACGTCACTCTGGACACAAGTTGCGCTTTGTCATCGCATATGTCAGGCGACATTGGCGACACACACCCTCCCGCCTCACCTAGGCGGGAGCGGTCATTCGATGATTTTCCTCCCTTAAAAAAAATTATCGTTGGCTTAAACACATCCGTGTTAATTCCTCTGTGCTTTGTCTCTTGTTTAATTTTAATTTTATTTTGTTTAATTTTATCTTCTTGTTCTTACTGTACTTATGACTGCTGTCTTGTTTATTAAGTGGTCGATAACGCGACTACCAAGCAAGGCATCTCGGGGTCTTTCTTACTTGCAAGTGTCGGGTTGCCTCAATCCGTAGTTGGGACAGTTTTAGAAAGATTTTGTTAAGACAACTATAATTGGTTGATAACATAGTTTCTAACAATAATAATATACTATGTGCCTTTAGTAGTTTAGTTTAGTAACATACTCGTGTTAATGTTTGCTTTATTACGTAAAATATTCCATTGTTTCATAAGAATTTGTAACAATGGAGAAATTGCTGTACACATTTCTGTATATTTTACATAATAAACTTGGTCATTAAGTATGTTTATAAACTCCAATATCAATAATACTATGTAAAAAAGGTTAAAATGAATTAAAGGATAGAGAACGAACAATAACATAGTATAGACGGGTCGTGTGCTAAATTCCAAAAGCCCTAATGAAGACTGATATATGAAATAAATTACGCCAGTGATTTTTATCACGAATCATCTCATCATCGGCTTAAATTCACGGCAGTGCACTGTGAGGCCATGGTATCATTCCGGTCAAACCGAAGCATGGTACGATTGATTATCCTATTGTATTTCAGAACCAAGTGCTAGGTCCAAAATGCAGTAATGGTCAAAATATCACCATCACCGAGGAGTTAGCTACAAAACTGTTGGACGTGACTAATGCGTAAGTGACAAATATTAATTATTGGCTTTGTAGGTACCTACTCTTACTGCTCCCACTCTATTTTTCTTGTTTTTATATTTTGTAACGGCATCGTTAAGTAAGAGTTGGTAAACACAATATAGTTAAGCAACTATATTGTTTTTCTTTCTTTCTCTCTTACCACGGGACTGCTTTGAGGGAATTTTTCCTCGAATCTTCAAGAAGTAACGCCACTAAACTGTCAATTTTCTCAAAGATATTCGATATAGAACTAAATGGTAGACTCACAAAATATTTGTAGTACTCCAAATTTTTAAATCAGTCGATTTTGGCTGTAGGTCTGATAAATGCCGTGAAATAACTTACCTAGTGATTATGTCATTACAAAAAAATTACATATCATCACGCCTTTTATCCCCGAAGGCAGAGGTGCACATTATGCCACTGTACAATGTAACACCAACTTCACTATTTATGTTATGAGTCCCATGTAATAGGGGGTGAGCCTATTGCCATATACCTGGCACAATTCCAGACTCCGTGCTACTACCGAGATTTTTTAAATTGAGGTAATAATAAATACTTGGGTGCTTTCCTAGACCTGGCTAAAGCATTTGACAGTATAAAAATATGTGTTCTATGACTTAACATGACTCTCCCACGTTATTTTATTACACACTTGTTTGGGACATTACAGTAACATAACGATTATATTTTACATTTCAGGATAAGGAGCAAAATAGCCAATGGCAGAGAAGTAGGCAAGGATGGCGAGATGCTACCACGGGGATATGGGATCTTTCGACTGGTACAAAATATTATTTCATTACCTTTAGATCTTTAATCGAAGTTGTGACCTCACGTTTTAATTTGTATATTCCAGCAATGGGACAACGAGCTGGCAACATTCGCACAAGTGCTGGCCAACCAATGTACGCTACGACATGATCTGTGTCGATCCACCAGTAAGTAGTCAATGTTTTTAATATTTATGATTATTTATCAGGCTCCATAGTAAATGGTGGGGTTAACTTGATACCCATGACATAAAATTGGTCACAAAAAAGGTCTACAAAGAGATGAGTGGAAGACGAAGGAGGATAGGGAGGCTCTTGCCTGCAGCCTGGCCAGCCTGGCCAGGCCTGCAGTACGCACGACTTGTTTATTGCAGATGTCTACCAAAATGCAACAATTCTGAAGTATTGTGAAAACTTTGGAGTGATTAAAATGGTGACACTTTTTTCAGAAAGATTCCCAGACCCTGGACAAGGAGTCGGTCTCGTGAGATTTTCGTACCCAGACTGGAAGATCATGTCCAGAAAACAGGACCCTCCTGGATTAACTGATTCCAAAATGTCGTATGCCGTCACAGTGACCCTCAAAAATTGGTACTCGCAAAAATCTGATGTTACCGAAAAAATGGTGAAGATATACCCTGACTATAGTTTGTACGTATTTATTTCATTAACTTATAATTTATGTTCTTTTAATCGATGACGAGTTATACAGAGCTACACATTACACAATATTATTATGTACAATAGAACATAATGTTACTATTGATTATATGAGTCCCATGTAATA